CAACAGTTTGAGCCCAGGTCTGTCTGCCTGGCCCTGACCAGCATAGCCCAGGCTAGCATGATCATGTCAGATCTCGGAAGGTAAGCAGGGTCGGCCTGGCTAGTATTTGGATGGGAGACCTCTAAGGAATACCAGGGACGTGATGCAGAGGAAGGCAATGGCAAACCACCTCTGGATGTCTCTTGCCTTGAAAACCCTACAGGGTCACCATAAGTCAGCTGTGACTTGACGGCACTTTCCACCATCACCGCTTGTCTACCCACTGTACTGCAACAGCTCTCATTCAAACTGGTGATTGTCACATTATTAGATATACTACCCTTACAGTTTTGACCAGGTCTGGTCATATTTGAGCAAGATACTTTTAAAAATTTCTGGTCTTAGGTAAGGTAAAGGTAAAGGTTCCCTTGCTCGAAAGTCAGTCGAGTCCGACTCTAGAGTTGTGGTGCTCATCTCCATTTCAAAGCCGAAGAGCCAGCGCTGTCCGAAGACGTTTCTGTGGTCATGTGGCCGGCATGACTAAACACCAAGGCGCACGGAACGCTGTTACCTTCCCACCGAAGTGGTACCTATTTCTTTACTTGCAATTTCTTGCTTTCGAACTGCTAGGTTGGCAGGAGCTGGAGCTAGAGACGAGAGCTCACTCCGTCATGCGGCAACCCGGGTCTCGGACTGCTGAACTACTGACCTTCCATAGCCTGCAGTTCAGCGTCTTAACCACTTGAGCCACCGCAGCTCCTGCCTTAGGTAAAGCAGATGCTAATTTTCTGCTTTTTGTCTGTTGTGACCTTAACAAATTTTGAAAGTGTCATGAGAGAGGCACAGGCATTATCGATTGAGGGAGAGCGAGGGCTGCCTTAGACCAGTGGTCTGTCTGGCCCTATACTGCCCTCCAGTATCCCACTTTAATTTGAAATGCCAGGATTTAAACCCAGAACAATATGTGCTATACACAACTGAAGTATTGCCAAGCTTTGCTTTGAAGTGCATGGGTAGAACATTGTAAGGATTGTAAAAATCCAGCCTTGTTATGGTGGTTATGAAATGGTGGTAGATCACATACGCATATACACTCAGCAATATTTTCTTCCCAGACCATTATGTCGCCTAACAATTCAACAACAGATGCATCATCAAAGCATTGGGAATGAAGACTTCTGTGTGCTCCAGTAAAACAGCACCTCCGAATCACCTTGCTGTGTGTCCTTTGCTTGGCAATATAACTTTTTTGCACTTTGGTTTGTTGTAAGGTAGAGCTTAGACAGTTTTGTTCAGAACTGTATGTAGGCTAGACTTAGTCATAAAATCATGGCTTTGCATTAACTGTGGTTACTTTCTTAAACCAGGATTTTACTCACAAAGGGTCACTCAAATCCTGATCCTCCTCGACGAATGTAGATTTGATTGCCTTTGCTCCGGCCAGTTGCGGTAGTGTACGGGGCAGTGCCAAGAAGCAAGCAAAAAATTCCATGTTCAGATCATGCAAAACTGTAATCAGTACTACCTGTTTATTAAACCGGCTTCAAACCAGGGTTTCAGATCCTGGCTTGACAAATCCTAAGTAACCCACAGTTAGTGGACTGGCACACATTTTGACAAACACACTACCCACATTTAGTTACTTTAATTAAACCGTGTTTTTTTGGTTATGTCTGAACCAGTGTCTTTAAAAAGCACTTGTGGTTGTGTGCACATTTATTTAAGTTTTAATTAGTTAATTGGTTAATCAATTAAAATGCATTCTTTAATCAATTGTATCAGCAATCCATCTCAGCAGCAAATTTCTGAGCAACTTGTTCAGCCATCTTTAAAAACACATGCATGCTCACAAAGCACTCATAAGAACACCTGATGTTGTATTAAAAATGCACAGAACAAATGTTTCCAGCCCTGGGCACGGGGTGGGGTGAAGGAGTGGAGAGGATTCTTGATGTTAGTGATGGTTTGGGGTCAGACTGTTGAGTTCATGTGCTGATTTGACTATACACACACAATTCCCACTTCATTGTGTGCTTTTGGCAAGGAGATTCTTTTACGACCACTTTGGATCAATGCTGTGTTTTTTCTCCTTGACCAAAGTGGACCACTTATTCTAGTTCCTTTCCCTATATTTTCAACATCCTTGCAAAGATACGGGCAGTTTGAAGAGACAGGAGTGAATTCCTGCCACATTGTAATCAGATCAAGCTGCTGCTGCTTCTTCTTCGTCTTCTTCCTCCTCCTCCTCCTCCTTTGTTCTCTCTTCCCAGCCATCCTTGCTTTTTGCAGTTGTTGTTTGCTTCTCAGAGTGCAATTGGTTTCCTAAATGCCTGGAACCAGCTACATGTGCCGTTGCTGATTGCGCTGGCCGCAGAGGGAGCTGGCTGCGCTTTCCCCCTGTGGCCCACAAATCGGTTGCTTTTCCGCATCTGTTCAGAAAGTCAGCAAGAGCCAGGAGTCTCCGTTTTTCCAACAAATCAATGCCGCATCAAGAACAAAACACACCAGCAGACAGTGCTTTTCACACAGTGTTGGGGTAGGGGGTGGGAGGGAAGAAAAGGGGAACCATAATTGAAACTCTGCTGCAGTAAATTTTGAAACTAATTGGCCTACCAGTCTCTCAGGTGTGTGATGTCTCGGGCCAAGACTTCTAGTTTTTAATTTTGTGTTTTAAATAGCTCTGAATGCTTTCTTGGCTTTGCATTAGGACAGGGTTCTGATGAATATTTTCATACCTGATAAAGGGAGGTTGCTTGCCTCGTTCCATGGCCACTTAACAAATTCTTGTACAGAAAAACCTTTCAGAAGTTTAAGAGAAGTCATCATTATCCTTAGCATTTGTATAGCATTTTCAAGTGTTCAGTATGTTTTGCAAAATGTTGTCTTGTTTGTAGTCCCTACCTTACCCTTGTAAGATAGATCAGTATTACTATACCTATGTGGCAAATGGAGGCTGAGAGCAGCTTGCCTATGGCCATCTGGTTAATTCATGTAGAGATAAGATTTGAACACATGACGTCCTGATCAACAGCTCAGACACTATACTACGGGTGCTTTCAGACACACTGAATAATGCACTTTCAATCCACTTCAGAGATCATTTGCAAGGAGATTTTGCCCTCTGACACAATAAAATCCAGTTGCAAAGTGGATTGAAAGTAGTAGTTGTAGATTTTCTGGGCTGTATGGCTGTGGTCTTGGCATTGTAGGACCTGACGTTTCGCCAGCAGCTGTGACTGGCATCCTCAGAGGAGTACTCAGAAACACAGAAAGATGGAGTACTCTCTGTGTCAAGGTGAGAAGAAAAATGGTAGGCAGGTAATTTATATCTACTCAGGAAGGTGGGGTAGGGCTGAATCATTATCTTGTAGGAGTTCCCCAGGCTGTGACATGCTAATAGAGGAGCTTTCCTGAGGAGGTTCTTTTGCATATGAATTGACTGTTGAAATTCTAATCTTATCTGTAGTACTATGGTAAGATGTAGAACATTTTGTGTTTCAGGACAGGAAACCATGCCCTATTTATTTTTAAACTCTCTTTCCTGTTGAAATTGTGTTTATGCTTATGAATTTCAGTGGCTTCCCTATGTAATCTGGCATGGTAATTGGATGTGTTGTCCAGCCTTAGAGAGAGTCAGTCTATGGAAGGGAAGACCCTGGTTCAGATCCCCACTTGTATATGTAACAAAGCCCTCAGATCAAGTACAAGTTGCTGCAAGGGCTTTGAATCAGATGTGAGTCGCAAGTCCCCACTAGGAAATCAATTCCAGGAGTTGGAATCAAACTAAATTGGCAGTTTCCATCAGTTCCCCCTACCCATTGCAGACCCCTCCCCCCCATGTCATTCCTCGGGGTCCCTGTCCCCTCGGAGCAGCGTTTTGGTGAGATCAGTGAACTGAAAAATTTAATCTGGCTCCAACCCCTGTGTGCAGGGGGCCAAAGTGCAGCAGGTAGAGAGAGAGGTCCTATTTGCCTTTATGGACCCCAGTCAGTAAACAGGCTTCCCTCAACGAGACCAGTAGTGGTCCCCGAAGTCATTTCAGGTTGGGAAAATGACACAGAACGGGGAGGCATAAGCATTCTCTCTCGCTGCGTGCTGTGGTCCTGATCCAAATCAGCCCCTGCAAGCTCAGGAAGTAACTTCCCAATGGAGACTCCCGTCTAATTTAAAATCCCTATGGTGACCCCAACATAATATTTGTTTAGAACTCAGGAATCTCACTGGTTCACTTTCTCTCTCCCTCCCTCCAGCCCTAACCTACCTTACAAGGTTGTTGTCAGAATAAAACAAAGAGAACAGGCCTGTGTATGCCACCTTGAGCTCCTTGGAAGTGAATCAAGATAAGTATGTGAAACAGGGGTGAGTCTTTGATATAAACCCAATCCTCTGCCCCAGTAATTTCTTGACAGTGTGCTGGGGCAACACTGGTGTGCTGTTAGAGCATGCCACATCCTTCTTCAGTCATATGGAGGTAGTCCCTGAGCAGTAACTCACACAGAGATGTGTCAAGCAGCCTCTTCCGAAGAGGAATGGCTCTTTTGTAAGATTCAGTGTTCCATTCAGATGTCACAGTTCATAGCCTCTGTGCAGGTGGATGGTCACAGGAGTTCACCATTATTTAATTAATGTATTGCAATGCCAGCCATCCTTTGTCAGCACCTTGCAGGAGTTGCACCAACGCAATGTTTGGGAATTACTGGCGGAGGGTTGGGTTCAGACCAGAGGAACTTGGATTCATACACCTGCTCAAGATGTGAATTCCCAGGGCAGCCTTGAACAAATAGGTCATCTCTCACTCTCGGTAAAAACAGTAACCAACTCTGCAAGGTTGTTTTTCAAGGAAAGGGCTTAAGAAGTCAAACTAAATAATCAAATGCAGCCTGTACCTCTGAAAGTGTAGTACTTTGTCTCTTGACTGAGCTGGCATTCCTTAACAATTTGACTCTTTATTTTTTTTGTCTCTCCCCCATCACACACACACAAGCTTGAAGAAATCTTGTAAATTTATTGTCTTTTTTTAGGGCCTCAGTACCGGCTGGAGAAGCAGAATGAGCCAAATGTCCCTGTTGATTTGGACTGCACCCTGGAAAGCCAGAGCACTTTGGAATTCTGCCTCGTCCGTGAGAATAGTAGGTTGGCTCCTTTCCTTCTCCCCCATTCTGCTTACGCAAGTTCTGTCCTCTGGAGCTCCAAGGTTGGGCAGCCAGCTGGGCAAGTGGATTTGGAAGAGGATCTAGGTTATGCCTCACTCCCACTCCCCCCCCCCACTCCAGCCAGTTTTCATCTGTGCCAGAAAGACTTCTGTTTCCAAAACTCCAGTGATTGATTTCATACTGCACCCTCTGGCTTCATGATTAATCTGTTTCCTGCTAACCTCTGTTCTGGTACAGTTATGAACCTCTCTGGTGCTCTAGTGCTGGTCAGCCAGTCTCACTGCTCTGAACAACCAGTGCAAGTTAGCCCCAGCTTGCGGTTACTGAAAAGTCAAGTCTCTGTTCCCAGCTATTTGGAGCTTCAAGAGCTGCAAGCTATTTGAGGCCAAGCCAGATGAGAGGCTGAGAATTTCTCGATTGGAGCGCCTAGCTTTTTGTTAAAGGGGATGAGATACATGGAGAGGAATTTTTTAAGACACACGCGCACTTTTTCCTACCTAAAATGGCCCTGGGGAGCTGATATTTACATGTGGGGGAGCTTACAAGTCCAAAGATTTGTTCGGCCCAGTGAGGCAAATAGTGGCTCCCCAAGGCTCTACCACAAAAACTGGGGGAACCCCCACTGGGACCTGGAGACTGGCAACCCTACCCCAGGAGCAGCTGGGCAAAAATGTAATCTGTCTGAATGAGCCCTAGTGCTTCTTCTTGTGCTCCGGAATGGCTTATCAATTTTGTCCAGAATTTAAAAAGCACATTGTAGTGAGCTTGTTTTAAATGATACTGACATGTACTGTATTTTACTCAGTCCCAGTTCCGTTGTGTATGCTGTAAGCAAACAGTTCCATGAGAAAATAAGTGTCAGCTGTTTGGCAGGGTGGTCAAAGTCCAGCCCCTGCCAGTTTGGTGTCGTGGTTAAGTGTGCGGACTCTAATCTGGGAGAACCAGGTTTCATTCCCCACTCCTCCACTTGCACCTGCTGATGTGACCTTGGGTCAGTCACAAGCTCTGGCACAGCTGTCCTTGAAAGAGCAGTTTGTGTCAGAGTTCTCTGAGCCCCACCCACCTCACAGGGTGTCTGTTGTGGGGAGGGGAAGGGAAAGGAGTTTGTAAACCACTCTGAGACTCCAAGTGAAGGGCGGGGTATAAATCCAATCTCTTCTTCTTCTTCTTCTTCTTCCCTGATCTGCCTTCCAAACAGCTGATCAGCTCCTGCCAGTTTTCTGACCAGGGTTCCATACATATAACTCCCATTTATTTATTTATTTATTTATTTATTTTTATGCCCTGCCCTCCCAGCGAACGGGCTCAAGGCGGCTTACAAAGGTCGGTACAATGTACCTGGTCTCCATAAAACATTTTAAACATTTTAAACAAATTAAAACAGTCATACAGTTAAAATACCTCATTGAACTACGGACACAGAGTCCTGTGTTCCACAGTTGGATTAGCTAAGTCAGAGCAATCCCTTTAGCTGCCTAATCCACCTGAACTAGCCAGTTTGGTGTAGTGGTTAAGTGTGCAGACTCTAATCTGAGAGAACAGGGTTTGATTCCCCACTCCTCCACTTGCAGTTGCTGGATGACCTTGGGCAAGCCATAGTTCTGTCACAGCTTTTCTCTCAAGGATAGTTCTCGAATGAGCTCTCTCAGCCCCACCCACCTCACAGGGTGTCTGTTGTGGGAAAGGGAAGGGAAAGGGATTGTAAGCTGCTCTAAGACTCCTTCGAGTAGTGAAGAGTGGGGTATAAATCTAATCGAAAGTAAGTCCCACTGAATTCTGTAGAACTTAGTAGCTAGTCAGTACATTTAGGAATGAAGCCTGTTTCTTCTTCATTCAGTATTTAAGGTAAATAAAAGCCGGGGGCAGGGAGAACTGGACAGCTCTGAACCAGGTATTTATGTCCATTGGAAATGGCTGCCATTGGGCATGACAATTTCGGTCTGATTTTAGCTGCTGTAATTAAAGTTAGCCGTTTATTCATATAAAGCATTTGCAGTGCAAGAGTATTTTAAAAATGGGCAATGTATGTATATTTTTTCTTCTCCCTGTGCAGAGCTGAACAGATGCTAGTAAAAGGCATGCCAAAATACTCCTTTTTGAGCCAGTGTATAATTTATATTTCAAGGGATTAATCTCAAAAGAAGACTTTGCGTTAGCACAAATACTCAGTGAGACGTCTCCTTTTTCCCCCCCAGCGCTCACTGTTGTCAGGAAGATTAACAAAATGCTACCCATATTTGGGACTTCTATAACTTACTGTGAGATTTCTGTTGGAATGCAGTTCCCTGCTTTTCTTTTCTTCTTTTCCCCTGTTTTTTGAGAAGTCCCCCAACTATTCATGGCTAATTTACTTTTATACTTTCCACCCGGCTTCTGGAAAGTTCCCGCTTCCCATTTCATCATTAGACAGTAATTAGTATTCAAGGGAAATTGGTCTTAATATATTAAAATTGGTTAAGTGCCTTTAGACCTGTACCAAAGCCAATGTCTTATTGGAAAATGTAATTGGGGACTGTGTGTATGTAATTAATTGAATTACAATTAAGAACTTTCATTAAGCAATATACTAGTACATTAAAGTAATAACGGAATGTTTGGGGGGCTTAGTTTTGCATTCTTGCTTTATTGGGGAAGTAGAGATTTGTACAGTGTCTGATGCTGGAAGAAGGAAGACAAAGTATTACTTTGACTTTGGTGCTTGTCATGTTCCTGAATCAACTGCAGTCCCTTCTGTCAAAGTGAGCAGTCCCACCACCCTTGCCATCTGAAGTTGAATTGAGTATTTCATTGGTCACTGGTGGGGTAGAGTTGCCAAACTTCCTGTCTTGAACTACTTAGTGTTGTGTCATGTAACCGCTGCTGAGATTCAAGAAGCCAGCAAGCTCTACCCTGATCTGACAGGGAACAGATTTCCTCCTGCCTCCAGATTGGCTTAAAACTCATCCAAAGGGTCAGTCATCTTCTTAGCCAAGAATTGCTCAGTAGAAGAGCCTCTGCTTTGCATGCAGAAGATCCCAGGTTCAATCCCTGGCATCTCCAGAGACCCTGGAGAGTGACTGCCGGTCTGAGTAGACAATACTGACCTTGATGGACCAAAGGTCTGATTCAGTATAAGGCTACTTCATGTGTATGTTCAGTTTGTGTTCATTGGCAGCCCCATAAGAACAAAGAGCCCTGCTGAATCAGACCAGTGGTCCATCTAGTCCAGCATCCTGTCTCACCTAGTGGCCCATTAGTTACCCTGGAGAGCCAACAAACAGGCCATTAGAGGCCAAGGCCTCCCCCTGAAGTTGTCTCCTGTCAGACTCTTGAACAAACTTGCTCCCAAGAACACTCCCTTTGCAGTGATTTGTTTATTGAGAGATGAGAATGTATCAAGCTAAGACCACTTGTGTCAGAACTGACTCCTTTGGTGCCAGTTCTGAAATTATACATGATTCAAGCAAGCCCCCCTCCCCAATGACTGGTCCAATCAGTCCATTCACTCAGCCCACCTAAACCTAGCACGCTCTGTTAGCTCTCCTCTCCCCACCTGTGAACGTATAGTTACATTATCTACTGAAAGCCGGCTAGTGGAGACTGGCATTCAAGGTTGTTGTACATTTTTCCCAGCTCCGGAGGCCCACTTGGAAAGCAGTTGTAAATCAGTGCAGCAAAGCATTCTCAGACACTCACACATACTCACCCACAGGCTGCCCCCCCCCCACTCATAATGAAGGAACAAAGCAGTACAGGTACAGTACAGGCAATACAGCAGAACATGAGAAATCCATGGCAAACGAGGACCCAAATTTGACACTAACATGTGCCTCTGGTTTACTGCCTCTGATTATGGAGGATTACTTTAGTCACCATGGTTAGTAACCATTGATAGACCTCTCGTCCGGGAATCTGTCTAACCTGTTTTAAAGTCATCTTTACTCATGGTCATCACTACCTCTGCTGTCATTAAATTCCACGCCACCATTATTTGTTCAATAAATAAGTATTTCCTTTTGTCTGTCTTGCACCTATTGCCCATCAACTTTATTGTCAAAATAGACACCGCTGGGCTAGATGAACCAGTGGTTGGGTTTATGCATAATTTTATACCACTTGCTCTGAAAGAACAAGGACTAGTCGATCACTTGTCCACCATAGCTCAGGTGCAGCAGGTAAAAGATTTGTAAAGTTTGCTGTGGAACCCTGACAAAGGAGGAAATCTCCCTATCTGGGTTATAATGATTGCTCTTAGCAATGTGATCTTCCTAAACAGGCTGTTGATTCATCACAGCTTCATTTCTTTTGTCTTATATTTTTGCTGCAATTTTGTTCACTTAATTTTTTATAGTTTTGTAAGCTGCTATGGGTGCAGTTGAGAGAAAGGCAAATGAGTAATGCCCAATAAGCAACGTCTGCTAGCTGAGGCTATCTAGAGGAGGGATCTGAAGAGTTGTGTTTCTTCTAGGACAGAGAGCCTTTTAATGGAGAACAGAGGCTTAGAAAATAGATGCAGAAGACTGACACGGAGAAGCAGAACGGTGCAAGCTGTCTGGTTTATGGCAAGCCAGGTACCAGACTAGAAAAGTCCCCATTTTATCCAGTACAGCCTTTTCAGGGCAGCACTGGGACTTGACATCAGAACTTTTATAGGAATGATCTCATTCCGAGCAATAAAGTTCCATTTTGCTCCCTTTCCATAATAAGCAGGAGCTGTCAGCCCGATTGATTAAGGTTGAAAATGATAATAAGATTGGCAGAGATTGCAGTCTCTTATCTGTGGGATCAGAACTGGTGGTGGAAAGTGCTGACAAGTCGCAGCTGACTTAGGATTTTCTAGGCAGGAAAGTAACAGAGCCGGTTTGCCATTGCCTGCCTCTGCACAGCGACCCTGGACTTCCATGGTGATCTCCCATCCAAGTACTGACAAGGGCCAGCCCGGTTTAGCATCCAAGATCTGACAAGATCAGGCTAGCTTCGGCCATCCAGGGCAGGTA